TTTCACTTATGATTTTTTTTATTCATGACACCCAAAGTTGTGGTGCTGTGTTGTGAAAAAACAACATTCACACTCCTCTTCCTTTGGAGAGAAAACCCCAAATCCCAACACTCTACCCGTGTGGTTTGATCTGTGTTTATAACCCTGAAGGAAGACTTTGGTGCTGGGCTGGCCAGGGTAGCGCTCAGGTACCCCAGCGATGGACGGCTCTCCCAAAATAGATCCTAGCAGGGAATGCAGAGTGAGCTTCACCACACACTGCCTGTCCCCCTGCCCAGTACCTCAGCAGAGCCTTCTCCATCCTGAGCTCTGTCAGGAACCAGAATGGTTCCTCATGAACCCATCAGCCCCATCTCCGTTGGGTTCAGCGGATGTGCTGGGCTTTGAGACAAACCCCATCAACTCTGCTAGGCTGAGGGGTTTCTAATCAAGAGGAGAGGCTGGAATTGTCCCCTTGGTTTCCTGTGCTGCCCTAAGTCAGAAACAAACCCCTATGGGGCTACTGTGGGGTAAAAGAGAAGGGATCATTTGGGGAATTTGGATCCTGGAGTGTTGACATCAGGAGAGGCCAAGCCCCAAAGCACCTCCTGTCCACGCTGACTCCCGGCTTCCCACGCTCCTGCCTCTCCGTGGAGATAAGCCTGGTTTCTGCTAAACTGAATGCTGCAATCTGCTTGAAAGAAAGAGCAACTGCTGGGAAATCCCAACAAAACAGCTCCAGCGCTTCTTAAACACCATCAATAACTGCTCCTTAGTGCTGTGCATGGGAGGAGAAGCTGGGGACCTTGCTGGGAGTGGAAGGGAAGAGAGAGGAAAACCACGAAGATAAAAATAAAGCCTGTGTGTGCATATCTGTCGGTGTACGTGTACACGGGCATCTCCACGCCAGGGGCTTGGGAATAGTCATCAGGACTGGATTTGGTCTTTGTGTTTTGCAATGGAACATCTGGTCCCCGTGGTGATTTGGAGATGCAGATGATTTGGAGACACAGATGAGCTTAGCTGATCGTTTGGTTATGCAAAGACATGTAAAAAAGCAAAGTAACGCCAACAAGTGCAGCACAAACCCCATTACAATTCTCCCAGGGTGTTTATCAGCCCTTTGCTGGGCTGGGATGATTAGAAAGCCCGTGACAAATTGCTTACTTAGCTTCCTGGCTTCCTTATTTCTGGGCAGAATTCACTATGCATCAGCCCAAGATCTGTGTTTGCACGTGTGTTTTATTGGGTTTTTGTTTGTTTGTTTGTTTTTCTCCCTTCTATAGACAAAATGGCAAGAAAAAACTGCCCAGCTTTTTTGGTATAGAAGGAGGGCAGGAGAGAGACACGACCACGGACAAAATCCTACAGTATATTCCAGGAAAGGCAAGTACAAACACGTCCACCCGCCTCCCCACTGCTCCCAGAGATTATTCCCACCCACCCCAAGGCCAGCGCTGTGCATAAGAGGGACGATGGGTCTGGATCAGGGGGTAGCATCAGGTCTGGATCAGAGAGATGGAGCTCACATCTGCAGCCCAGGAAGGAATGATGTGCCCATCCCAGCAGCAGAGCTGGCTGTTTCAATGTCCCCATGCAGGTGTTGAGGTGACCTGCCATCAGCCAAAATGTGTGTGACGGGGTGGGAGGGTAACGCTGAGAGCAAAGCAGGCAGCATGGTGGGAATATCTCACACACCCCTTTGCTCTGGGTTCTTTTGTTTCTGGGTAGCCTGTGAAGGAAGGGAAAATTTGAGGGAGCATTCAAAGGTAGGATGATTCATTCCCACGCTGGAATGAGCCAGAGCAGGCAGCGTATTAGCAATAAGCCCTGGGAAGGTAATCAGGAAGGGCAGGTCTGTCCCAGGCACGTACCAGCCTTGTGGCCATATGGCCCATTTCCCAGCACTGCTCAGGGAAAGCAGGGGTGAAACCCTGAACCCCAGGTTGTTTGCTCGGTTGCTTTGGGTGGGCTGGGGATGTGGACTGAGCTTTGGGGTCTGTTGGGCTGTAGTGTGCAAGCTTTGCTCACACTGCATGGCAAATAGGCTCTGGGGATATGCAGGAAAGGGAAACTGAGGCAGAGACAGTTAGAGAGAATTTTAGAGAAGGTCAGCAGCAGGGTGTTATCTCTTGGGTTTCAAGCTGCTCGTTAAGTGTGTTTCACTGGTGATGAGGTGCTTGGCATATTGCAGGACCCAGTTTTGAGCAGCCCTGCTAATGTACTGTGGGTTGCTGCAGAAATTCAAACATCTGCTCCCCACGAGCAGGGACTCACAGCCTCTTTCCATTCACCTGCTCCCAGGTTGGCCCTTTCCAACCCAAAGGACCTTGGCTTTTCCTCATGTGAACCTGAGAAGGGAGCAGGACTGGGATCTAACTCCTGGTTTGTAAGGTGGCCATGAGTGAGTGCTGCCTTACCTCTTGGGGAATGTGTCCTCAACTGTACTGGTGGGAAGCACAGCAGAACTGGGACTGTTGCACAGTCCTGCTTGTTATTTGTGAATGAGGGTGATGGGCACGTGGTGTGGGCATGGTTCCCTGTGGAACTCATCTGGCATCCAGGTTGGGCAGCACTTGATGGGTTCAGGCTCTAGACAGATCCTGGACACTTCCCCTGGGGAAACAGGGAGAGCTGTCACCTTAGCAGATCCTGGAAAATGAATCCTGCAAGCTGACAGAACAAAGGTCACCAAGAGAGTATTCATTCAGGAGAACAAGAGAGTGTGGGATCTCTTCAGGGAAGGAAGGAGGGTGGAGCAGTTGTTTAGATGTTACCCTCGCCTGGGGCAGATGGGATTCAAACTCCCTGCTCAGCCACAAGCTTCTTGTGTGGCCTGGAGAAAGCCTTGGCTTAGTCCCTTTCCCACTCCCGTCTTTTCAGGAGAAACACCTCTGGGAGTGGGAGGTGACCAGGCACTGCAGGGCCAGGTTAAAGAGGAGCGACCAGCATGGGACTCAGAGGAGATGGGGTCACCAAACCGCTGGGCATGGCAGGCAGTTTGGGACTGGGACAAGTGACATCCCTGGAAACCACAGAATCACAGAATTGCCTAGATGGGACAAAACCTTTAAGATCATCAAGTCCAATCATTAACCCAACACTGACAAGTCCTCTACTTGTGCAAGCCCCCTCAGGACCCTGCCACCGGCAGCTGGCACACAAAGCCAGCGCCTTTTGCTCCTGCCCTGTTTCCCACACTTCCCAGTTACAGCTTCTGTGAAACCAAAGCAGAAGTGAGGGGGGAAGGATGTGTCAGAAGAGTTGTGCTTCTCATTTGCTTCTTTTATCATTAAACAGCAGCTTTCGGAGCCCCAGGGCAGCAGCCTTGCAAGGCTGAGCTCTTCCTGCTGCCAGGCTTGGTGATTCAGCTGGGAGTCACTGGGGTCTGCAGGGGCTGAGGTTAATTATTAACTTGCTCTACCTGTAGGATGAGGCATCGGAAACAGAGCGAGAGAACATGTCAGGGCACTTGCACTGCCAGAGACCCGCTGCTTCACCAAACCCTGAGAGAAACCAGGTTTCCAGGGATCTGTTCTGCCTCAAAGCCAGTGGGATGGCTGAGCTGATGGGAACAGGGCTGATCAGGATGGGGCTGGAGAGGAGAGTGCTTCCAGCAGCATAGCCCAGCCAGGGGAGTAACGAGCAGGCTGGGGAGGGTTTCAGAGGGATGACAAGTGCTGGTTCCTGTTCATTTTGGCTGTACACTGAAGCATCCCCAGGGTTTTGGGGGGTGGTCCAACCAGGGAGGTAAGTGATGCTCATGTAGGAGGCTGTGACAGCTCTGGTCCCCGACCCTCATGGGATTCCAGTGCTGCTTTTTGGGCAATGGCCAGATGCAGGCCATGTTGGTGGCCATAAACCTGTGTTAGAGAGGCAGG